ATTTATTTTTTATTTTTATTTTTTTAAAAGATTTTTTATTTGACAGAGAGAGACACACAGCGAGAGAGGGAACACAAGCTGGGGGAGGGGGAGAGGGAGAAGCAGGTTTCCTGCTGAGCAGGGAGCCCGATGCGGGGCTTGATCCCAGGACCCTGGGATCATGACCTGAGCCAAAGGCAAATACTAACAACTGAGCCACCCAGGCGCCCCAAGATTTTATTTTTAAGTAATCTCTACACCCAGTACATGGCTTGAACCTACAACCCCGAGATCAAGAGTCACATGCTCTACCAACTGAGCCAGACAGGTGCTCCAAAAATAAAATCTTAAAAAAATAAAAATGGTTTAGAAGTGAGAGTGGAATCAGCAATGTCTTGAAATGAGTATGTATGATTATATAATGAGTATAAAGAAGGAGAAGAGATAGAATAATACATTATTTTAGTCTTTTGGGATGCTATAATAAAGTACCACAGATTAGGTGGCTTATAAACAAGAGACATTTATTTCTCACAGTTCTGGAGACTGGAAGTCCAAGATCAGGATGGTGGTCAGGTGAGAGCCCTCTTCTGGGTCTCACACTTTTCCTCCCATGATGGAAGGAGCAAGGGAGCTCTCTTGGGCCTCTTTTATAAGGGTATTAGTTCCATTCATGAGGGCAGAGCCCTCACCACTTTCTGAAGGCTCTAATCACCCACCTTTTAAAGGCTCTACCTCTTATACCATCACATGGACATAAGGATTTTTACATATAGGTTTTGAAGGGACATGCACATTCAGACCATAGCACATATAAAGGCCCTGGCAATCTATGGTAGCTTGAGTGCTGTGGTTATAGTATAGATTTAGTATTTCAGTGTTTACTATTTTAGGTAAGCCCAGAGTATCTTTATGAAATAGGAGATTAGGGAACTGGAAAACTGAACCATGGCTAACTTTATTTTCCTCAGAAGGGAAACTTAATCCTTGGATTCAAAGTGCCCTTGATCTATCTGTTATTTCCTTTTTCCTTTTTGTCTGATACTGACTCTTTTTTTTTAAACCTATGTACTATAGGATGAAGAACGGGATCCTTTGCTGCATAGTTTCAGTCATCTAAAGGAGGTTTTAAACAATATAACAGGTAAATCCCCACGTCTAAGTAGGATTATTTATACTGATAAAAAACCATGTGTTTGATTTATTGTAGGGATAGACAAAACTTTTCCTGTAAGGGACTATATAGTAAATATTTTAGGCTTTGCAGGCCCTAGCAACTGTGCAACTGCTCAATTCTGCCATTGTAGCTCAAAAACAGACATAGATAATACTTACATGAATGAGTGGTAAATAAAAATTTTTTCAGAAACCGGTACAAGCCAGGTTTGGCTCATGGGTATAGTTTGCCCCTGGTTTACTCCATTGTTGATCCTTTTCCTTGAGTTCCTGGTACAGTGTCCCACTTTAGTGGGGAATCAATGTTCATACAATTAAAGCTCCCTTTATTGTTTGAGTTATAATGAAGTTATTTTTGGTCTTGTTTTAACTACTTTCTTTCTCTGTCTCATGCATGCCATGAGGTAGGAAGTTGGTGGCACAAGTGAAGTTTTTATTATTATTTTTTACAAGTCAAGTTTTTAGTACTTGCAACAAAACCCTTCTTTTATAGAAAGTCGTTGTCACTTTTAGGGCCTTATTTGTGTGTAATATAGATCTTTCAGTCATCATGTGTTCCCAAAGTCATTTGTCCCTTTTTTTACTCCCTGTTTTCCTAATCATAATAACTATGTAATATTCATATGTTTAGAATTTTCAAAGCCTCTTTCATGTTTATTACCTTATTGAACTTTTACACAATCCTGTGAAGGAGGCGTAACAGACATTGTCCCCTTTTTATGAATGAAGTTGAAGCCCAGAGACATTTTAAATGATTTAGTTGAGGTCACATTGATCCTAAGTGGTGGAGTCAAAACTAGAATTCAGGCCTGGTTTAGTGCCCTGGTCTGCATTGCTTCTGTTTATGAAATTAGAAGAGAATGTATGCAGGAAGTGCCTCCCATTATGTATATGTATGTGTCAAAGGAGTAGGCAAATCTCAATACCCTTGGGTTTTTCAAGGGGAGAGAGATGGAAGGGGAAAGCCTCAGAGCTATATTCCTCTGTCAACCAAAAAGGACTTTTGCAGTTTATATTCCTGGAGTGGAACAATTGAAATAGTTTTTAGGTTTCTGCAAGTTAAGTAAGCAGTAGCACATTTTTTCATTTCATGAGAAATGTAGGAGAATATCTGGAGAAAAACTCCTTTTTACTTTCCTAAACATGGACTGAAGTTATCTAAGCGTTCTCTACATGTTTTTTTTAAAGGAGCAATTTCACTCAGTTGAAAAACATCGGAAATGTTAGCCAAAGATCAAGTATAGAGGAAGCGGTTATTAGCCAGTTAGCAGGGTTAAAGCTGCAACTAAGTGGCATGTTCATATTTTATGGCCTGTACTGTAAGTGACTTGGCTGCTTTAGGAAGTTGGCTACTTGCACAGATATTTTTTTTGTTAACTTTACAGATAAATATGCTTACCTATCCCAATTAGAAAGAAAATATAGTGAGTAGGTATTTACAACTCTTTTTGGTGGCCAAAGTTCAGCATGCAGTTGATCCTTGAATAATACAGATTTGAACCATGTAGGTCCACTTATATGTGGATTTTTTTCAGTACATACAGTACAGTACTGTAAATATATTTGCTCTTCCTTATAACTTTTTTTTTTAAGATTTTATTTTCGGGCGCCTGGGTGGCTCAGTTGGTTAAGCGACTGCCTTCGGCTCAGGTCATGATCTCAATCCCACATCGGGCTCCCGGCTCAGCAGGAAGCCTGCTTCTCCCTCTCCCACTCCCCCTGCTTGTGTTCCTGCTCTCACTGTCTCTGTCTCTGTCAAATAAATAAATAAAATCTTTAAAAAAAAAAAAAAAGATTTTATTTTCAAGTAATCTCTACACCCAGTGTTGGGCTTGAACTCACAATCTTAAGAGCAAGAGTTGCATGCTCTACTGACTTCACCAGCTGGCTCCCCCCTTATGACTTTCTTAATAACATTTTCTTTTCTCTAGTTACTTTATTATAAGAATAAAATATATAATACATATGACATATAAAATATGCATTAATTAACTGCTTATGTTATCAGTAAGGTTCCTGGTTAACAGGGTATTAGTTAAGTTTTTGAGGAGTCAAAAGTTATACATGGATTTTCAGCTGCAAGGGGGGGTTGGTGGCCTAAACCCATGGGTTGTTAAAGGGTCAACTGTACTATCTTTTAAGAGATGTGAAGAGGATTAAATATGTTAGTATACTTGGAAACATTTGACAATTTATACACAGTATTGTGTTGTATGTGGTTGGAAACACCCAAAATGGCTGAGATCAGACTGGAGTAGCCTTGTAGGCTTTTTGGGCACTCTGCAGACGTTGAGGAGCTGAGATGGTGCTGCTATCTTTTTTTTTTTTTTTTTAAGATTTTATTTATTTATTTGACAGAGAGAGAGACAGTGAGAGAGGGAACACAAGCAGGGGGAGTGTGAGAGGGAGAAGCAGGCTTCCTGCTGAGGAGGGAGCCCGATGTGGGGCTCGATTCCAGGACCCTGGGATCATGACCTGAGCCGAAGGCAGACGCTTAATGACTGAGCCACGCAGGCGCCCCGGTGTTGCTATCCTGACAGAGCTACATTTCCTTCTTGCCGTCTAATCCATATCCCATACTTGTTTTCTCTATCCTGACATATCCCTGACATATCTCAAGAGACCATATCTGTGGTGAGTGGTGCAGTCCAGGACTTGGGGTTCTTGACCATCTAAGAGCTGCCAGAGTTGAGTCTTCTGCTTAATTTTCCTTTATCTTTGAGTCAGGAATCCAGATTATCTGCTGCTTCAAACTAATAAAATCAGGATGTGCTGAGGAGCCAGTTCTGTCAGTGGTACTAGGAACATAGCTGGGTGTTGCCAAGCTCTCTCCTGGAGCAAGAAGGTAATAGTATTTTCCAGGGCAGATGTTGAAATGGTGTCTGCCAAGGTTGCTCATTGTTCTTAGGTTTTAACATATTACCTGCCTGAAAAAATGACAGAGTGGACCCAAAATGGAACATTTCGTAGTCTTTTTTTTTTTTTTTAAGATTTTATTTATTTATTTGACAGAGAAAGAGGGAACACAAGCAGGGGGGAGTGGGAGAGGGGAAGCAGGCTTCCTGCCGAGCAGGGAGCCCGATGTGGGGCTCGATCCCAGGACCCTGGGATCATGACCTGAGCCGAAGGCAGATGCTTAACGAGTGAGCCACGCAGGTGCCCCCGTTTCATAGTCTTCTGATTGGTTCTGACCCCCCACAAAGTGCTGGCTTCCAGGAGCAAGTTTATGGGTCAGCTGCCCCTGTGGTCCTGGACTCTGTAGTCCATGACCAATTTCTTGTTTCTTTTACTGAGACAAACAGATTTTTCTGATTGGCAGTGTCAGGAGGACTGCTTTCTTGGAAGCCTATTAATGCATTAATGGTAGGAGGCTGGGAAAGGGTTTTGAACTTGGAAAGAGAAACTGAAGGGACTTGCCTGCTCTGTGTGACTGGGAATGGTGTCCCACCTAGACTGGAGGAGGTATGGCAGGAATTCTAGGACTTCCATTCAGTTTAACTCATGAAACTGACTTGGGCTTAGACTCTTCTTATAAAAAGGCTTTCTACCTCTGAAACAAATAATGCAATATATGTTAAGAAAAAAAAAAAAGAAGAAGAAGAAGGTAGCAGGAGGGGAAGAATGAAGGGGGGAAATCGGAGGGGTAGACGAACCATGAGAGACGATGGACTCTGAAAAACAAACTAAGGTTCTAGAGGGGAGGGGGGTGGGAGGACGGTGATGGGTATTGACGAGGGCACATTCTGCATGGAGCACTGGGTGTTATGCACAAACAGTGAATCATGGAACACTACATCTAAAACTAATGATGTAATGTATGGGGATTAACATAAGAATAAAAAAAATTAAAAAAAAAATAAAATGGAGCAATTAGAGAACAACAAAAAAAAAGGCTTTCTATTTGCTTTTTTCTAGGCTATCTGCTGGCTTGGTTGGTTAGGAGTATCACTGTTGGAAATGGGTAGTTCATTGGACAGTGTCAGTAAACCAAAATGATTTTTTTTCTTTTCTTGTAAATAGAGGATCTTTTAAGTAGATAAGCACTACCTACTCTTCCAGGAGTATTATCTGAGCATTGTGGAAGAAATAAGTCCATTGTCTCTAATAAGGTTAGCTAACTCAATACCAGTTATTCTCACAGATACATGTTTCTGGACTATGTTCGCAGTTAGTATTTGCCCAAATTGCATGATGACTGCATGCTTTGTAGCATTTAGAGTAATAAAATAGTCTAATATCAAATCTAAAGTGACAGTTGCACTTGGAAGATACTGGGTACCTAAGAGCAAAGTTTGCATGTTGCTATTTTGGATAAAACCTTAGCTCACCATTAGTGAGACTTGAGTGCTGCCCCTCATTTGGTCTTTAAGCCGTCTTAGGAATCCTTTTAGGAGGTTATTCTGAAAAGTTAAATTAGATGTGTGGTTACCAGGGGCTGGGAGGGGGTCTGGGGAGTGACTGCAAATGGGTATAGGGTTTCTTTATGGGGTGATGAAAATGTTCTGGAATTAGATAGTGGTCATGGTTGTACAACTTTGTGAATATATTTTAAAACATTGAATTGTACACTTTAAAAGGGTAAATTTTATGGTATGTGAATTACATCTTAATTTTTAAAAACAGCAAATGTAGGCTGGAAGAGTAATGGGATTCGCCAGTTCTTCCTCAGGACTCAGAGCTATGGAGGGAAGCCTCTGTAGCTGCTGCTGTGCCCTGAACCCATTACCCAGCAAAGGCAGCATAAGGCTCTCTTCAGCCTCCTGGCCCAGTTTGTCCTTTTATGTCTCTCTCATTAACTCAAGAAGCACATGGCTTTTATATTTAAATTTATTCAAGCTGTAATCTTTGACATTTGAGTTAGCTTTTAGTACAGTTTTGCATTTATAGTAATATATATTATGTATTTTCTCTATCCCCAAAGAATCCGTTTTAATCTTTTCCGGATGCAAATTTCAGGCTGTCTTGTCC